TCAGGCAGAACGAGCCTCCCATTGCTCGCATGCCTTCGTGACCCATGGCCTGGGGGCGCTCACCTGGCTCTGCGTGGCCCACCGCTTTACGACAGCCGCCTGGAACTCCGCCGCCGTGATGAGGAGCGTGAGTAGGTCGGCGAGCGCGGCCGCCTTCGCGTCTGGGGGGTACGTGAAGGCGTCGGTCCGCGCGATGAGGCCGAGGGCGATGGCTCTCTTGGTGGCGTTCGGAGCGAAACTACGGAAGTGCATGTACGGTGGGTATTGGAAGTCGTCCGAGTAGGACCCGAGATCGAGGGACGCCGGCCGTACCGAGACTCTCCCACATGAATCGAGGGAAAGCCGCATGCCCGTGATGACATCGCCGCCGTCTGTCTCATTCGGAAGCGGGTAGCGGAAAGACGGCCAGGAAGCAATGTGATCCGCTACGCGACGGAGATGGCGTGTCTACCGAGGCCTTCCATAGGCATATGTAGTCGTCCATGTACCGGGACTCGAGGATGAGGATGCGGACACCCTCGACGACGTAATATCGGATTCTGGAGCGAGCAGGCGGCGGGAGGCCGCGCCCACTGTAGAGGGAGGCGTGGAACACGACGTCGCAGTAGATAAGCACCATACGGGTGAAGGCTCCGGCCAAAGAGCTGCCCATTGCGAGTCCGTCGGTGGCACGACCGACGAGCGTGCCCACCGCGAGCCAGAGGTTCGCGAGGCTGTGCTCGATGGCAGCGGTGAGGTCCGCTGGCCGGAAGACCACGTGGAGGGGCGAGGCCCTGGGCGGCTCGAACGGCAGGGTTCGTGCGAATCCGCGCCGGCGCGGGGCGGCGATGGCCGAGGTGTCCCGTGCAGCCAGGACCTCCTGGTAGAAGGCCCAAGCCCGGCGCACAAGGCAGTGTGGGATGTTCGTGAAGCAGTCGGTGAGGTCGCTCCCGTACTTCTGCACGGGCCCGTGGGGGGCCAGTTCGCTGAAGCGCTCGAGCAACGGCAGCAGCGAGTCGGTGCGCTGCGCGTCGATGTAGATGCTCAGGGATGCCTGTGCCGCTGATCCAATCGATTGCTCGTGCTGCTGGCGACTCGAAGCCCTGTGTCGGCCAGTGCGAACGGTCCACGAGCGGTCGTCGGCTGTCTGGTTTTTCTCGTTTTTTGTTTGGGGCCGACGCCGACGCCATGCGCCAATGGCGGGGGTTAGACAGGCGAGCGGGTTGGAGATCGGCCCCGAGGCCAGGGACGGAGGCCACCTGCTGGAGTACGGCTTCGGCTGTCAAGCCCGGGTGTTACACGAAGTGCGGGTTCTGCCCCGTGATGCCGAACAGGGCCGTGCAGAGCAACTGCACTCGGCGGGGACACTCAGCTACGAGCACGTGCTTGGTCTTCTGAAATTCTTCGACGACGAGGCCGCGTGTGAGTGACCGGCCAGCGCGAATGACCGACTCCGGTACGGGGTCGAAGTCCAACGGGAGGTGCGGCGCGTCGAAGTCGAAGGCAATGCTGGATACCACGTCATGGACGCAGCAGTCGATGAAGGCCGCCGAACAGTCGAGCCGTAGCGCAGCCACGAGGCGCCGGAGCAGGCGGCGGCATGTGGCAGTGTACCGCGCCTGGGATGGCACGAGTGCTGTGTGCGCTGGCAGGGTGCGCAGGTGCGAGAGGTGAGCGGGCCAGAGCCATGTGTCCTGTGGGGCGAATATGTGGCACTCGCCGTCAGGGGACGGGTAGCGGGGGAGGTCCGGATGCATGTGGCATGAACACGGCCATGGCCCACTATCGCCAAGACGGCGGTAGAAGCTGGGGGCATTGCGCAAGCCAGCCCGGGGCGCAATGACGGCCACTGGCGAAAGCATGACCTTGAGGTCGCGAATGGCCGGCAGCAGCAAGGTCTGGGGCGGTGGATGATGCCTTGGAACGCGCGTTTGGTGCCAGAGTGCGGCAGCCATGGGAGAGCGCCCTGCACGCGGAGGCGCGGCCGGGGCCAGCGACGGAAGCGGCGAACGGACTCGAGGGCCTTGAGCCCGATGGCGCGGGTGGTGCCCTCATGCCGCTTGTGGGCGCGGTGCCAGACTGCGTACCACTCCTCTGCCGTAAGCCGGTGCATGTCAGCGTGGCAAGGGCGGACGTCGTCATCCGCCAAGGTGTTGCATGCGATGTGGGCCCAGCGTGTGATTGGCGTGGATGGTGGGCCGGACAAGGCGAGGAGGCATGCCGACGCGGATGGTTCGCGCGAGGTCATGGCCTGTCCGTGCCGACGGGACTGGGAGATCCTCGCCGGTGATGTCGGAGCCGCAGCCGCGATGCACAACCTTTCGCGGGCCGGGTGTGGCCCATTGCCTGGCAAGGCGAAATGGTGGACGTAGGGCGCGTTGAGCCGCGGGTGCTCGGAGGCGATGACGTGCTGCTCGAGGGTGAAGGCTTCCGCGTCGCTGGACAAGCAGGCGATGGGGAGGTAGAACCATGCCGAGGCAGCACGGGCGGCATCTCCCCTGGCTTGCCGGCGAAGCACCTCCATGTATGGCTGTTGGGAGTCGCAGGAGGTGTTGAGGAAAGCGTAGATGTGCTTGCGGAGGCGTTCGCGGAAGTTGACCGCCTTGCCGACGTAGAAGTACGGGCGCCACGGGCTCCGCATAATGTAGACGACGAACGATGCGTCGAGCAAGGACTCGGAGGGCGGCCACGTGGACCGCGGAAGGGTGGTTGCAAGGATGCGGAGCCGGGCGCGGCGCTTGAACGTGGAGGCCATGAGGAAATGAGCAGCAAGACCAAAACCGGCACTTTGCAGCGCAAAGATGCTGCCCCACTTGAGGGGTCCCGTGTCAGAGTAGAGCACGTACAGGTAGTCTTGAATGAGGCCGGTGAGGGTGGAGAAGACCAGGCGAATGCGCGGGGTCCGGGAGACACATGGCATCCCGTCACAATGCACGTCCCAGATGCCGCCGGATGGACGGCCGCTGAGAGCGGCCGTAGTCAGTCACTGGCCGAGCTCGTCGCTGCGGGCCCGGACGGCCGCGACAAGCTTGACGACGTCCGTGAGGCGGGTGGCGTCGAATTTGACCCCCATAGTCTCGACCGCCTTCTTGAAGGCTGCGCTGGCTTGTTGATTAGCTCTGCCCGGGGTCTTGGTGCGGCCGCCCGTGGATTCGGGGGCGAGCGCCTTGAGGGCGGTGTGGTAAGCCTTGAACTTGTTGCGGAGCTCCTGGGTGTCGTCGGACGTGACGTCAGTGTCCTCCAGGGCCCAGTCGAGGGACTCGGGTTGGCGGGCGTCGTGGAGCTTCGTGAAGGAGTAGTTCTGCAGGTCCTCCAGGGTGATGCTGACAGCGCCTGCCGCCGCGGCGTCTTGGGCAGCCGCGGCGGCGGGGCCCGGGGCCGCGGGGCCGGGGGGCCGCGCGAGGGCGCGGATGGACGCGGCAGGCAGGAGGGCGGCCTCTTGCGAGCCCTCTTGAGCCTCGATGATGGCCTGGCCGTCGTCGACCACGCTGGCTGCGACCTTGGAGATCATGTCTGGGAGGGCGTCCTTCTTCATCGTGTATGGGGAGTTCCGGGTGAGCCATGTGAGAAAACATTGAAGTTGTATGTGTCGGCATCCATGGGGACCAGTGGCACGATCTTCTGGAAGTTCCGGCGGGCCTGGGACCTCATGACGTACGGGATGTACTCCCCTGGATTCTCAGTGAGGGCACTGCGCGTCTTGGCCGTGCAGAGAGCCTTGCAGCGACGCATCATCTCGGCATTGCATGCAATGCGGGCGTCCTTGAAGCGCGGGTCCTCCCAGGCGAGGTCTGGCTCAAAGCCAGGGGGAACGCCGTAGGCGACGTTGCGGATGGTGAGGGACACCTCATCCTCGTCGAACACCAGCTTGCGAAGGTCCTCGTGACCCAGCCCACGAATCGCGCGGCGAACCCCCTCCAAGGTGGAGTGGCCGTGGGTGGCGGGACCTGGCAGAGAGCACTGCGCGGCGCGGGGGCCCCCATACCCAGCTTGCTGCATGAGGCCGAGGAGCTGGCGCGCGACTGGATCGACGACTGCCTCGAGCCAAGGCGCGGGCATGGACTGAGGAGGCTGGCCAGCCAGAGGCGACGGTCCGCCGGGGGGCACCGGCGGGAAAGGGGCAGCCAGGGGCAGCAGTGGCGAGGCGGCTGGGTCGGGAGCGCGCCCGCGGGCGGCGTCGACGGTGCACCGCGACGGCGCCTGCGGGACACTGCGGCGACGGGGCCTGGAGCGGCCGTAGCGTCTTGGCGGGCTCCGCGAACGACCGCGGCGGCTGGTCGAGCGCCCAGCGCGCGCCTGGTACTGGCGCGGGGGGCGCCGTGAGGACTCCGGAAGGCCGAGCGCGTCGGTGAGGGGCTCCGCCATGTCGAGCGCGGCGCAGTCCTTCCCGATGTGGTCGTGGTTGCCGCAGAAGGAGCAGAAGAGGCCCAGCGAGCGGCTGCGGGCGGCCATCGCGTGGCCACGGTCACGGAGGGTCCTGAAGCGGGATCCTGAGAAGGGCCACCTGAACTTGAACGCACTGCGGGGCGGGGGCGGGGTGGGGGCCCAGGAAAGCGGGGGGGGGAAGGGGGCAGGGAAGGGGCCAGAGCGGGGACGGGGAAGAGAGGGGTGGGGGGGACAGAGACTGAAGTCAAACGTAGATTTGTGGCCCCAAGGGATCCTGGAGGTAGGTCTTCTCGATTGGTTGGCGGGGAGTGGGCACGACCGCATGAGTGCCACTACAGCACGGGTCGAGCCATCACCCTAGGTGGGCGGGGAGAGGGACACGACGGCATGAGTGCCACTACAGCACGGGTCGAACCGTCATCCTTGGTGCACTGCTGGGGTGGCCCAAGTGCCAAAATGTAAAGGCTGACTGACATTGACAGGCACAATCAGCCGGCAGGGGAATAAATCCCGCTCGCGGCCCAAAGGAGGATAGATGTGGTGGGTGGCAATTGGTGCCTGGAATGGTAGGCGGTGGCACGAATGCCTTGAGATGGAGGTACGGGTCACCCCCCCCTACGGCCGTCTTCGTTGGC